TCAAGTGGCACACCCCACAAATTCTAGGTACACAAGTGCAGATAACAAAACTAGCTTATCCCAGGAGACCATCTCGGTTCTGAAAATCTTGCACCCCATTGAGATGAAGGAGAGTCACTAATTGTGGCCCACTTACTAGCCCAGATTGCCGATTGCTGCCATAGAGTATGTCCTGGAGGCAGCAGATTCTGGGTGAAATTTAGCTCAATTGAAATTAATGGCAAATGCCCAAGGTAGGGAGTTATTTCCTGGCTTGAGGGATGTACATTTTTAGAGCCCAATTTTCATTTATAATAATACTCCTTTACACTGCTTTGGCAGTGTCCAAAGACCATCCAGTAGATGTAAATTATACTTGTCCCTTCTGTGAGGCCCTTTTGCTCTGTCTGAGAATCAGGTCCTTGAAATTGAATACAATTTTCAGAGAAACAGTTTTCAAAACAGGGCATCTTTCAGGAAGATATCCTTTAGCTAGATATAAATTATTGGGCTCAGTAAGAAATTAACTGGGTGAAATTCTGTATCCTATTATATTCAGAAGGTCAGATATTATTATAATTATCCCTCCTGTAATTAAAAATTTGAATTATTTCACACACACACACACACACACACACACACACACACACACACACACACACACACACACACACATATATATGGGAAAAGCTCTAAAAATGGGACATTCTAGGAATGTGGGATTCTCAGAACTCAGCAATGTTCTCTGTATGGTTGGTTTGTTAGCTTTAGCCAAAATTAAAATAGAGCTTAATGAGTGGGATAAATTTCAATAGAGGCTGTGTGTGAACAGTCTGTGAACCTGACAATGAAAGCTTTGTATTGAATTTATAAATTCTTGTGTTCTCCTAGCAGAATTTGAGTAGAAATTATATTTAATACACATTTTGTTTTAAAAATGTCATCTCCATGGCCTGTTAATTTTATTTTGTGAAATGAAGCTGTTCTCCCTCTTCTTTCTCTCTACCTTTGACTGACCAGAAATACTCAAATGACGTGATTATATTCTGAGTGCCGTGTAAAGGTTTTTTAAAGCAATAATAAAAATGTGAGTAACGAAGGCTACGTCTACTCTATAAGGTTTTTGCACAAAAACCTGCAGAGTGTCCATACCTCAAATGAGCTCTTGTGCAATTAAATGGGCAGTTAAATGGCAAAACAAAGGGCTTTTTCTGTTATAGGTAAATCTCCTTGTCTGAGGCATAACTGCTTTTAGTGCTACAGCTATTGTGCAAGAAGGCAAGTGTGGATGCTCCCGATGGGTTTCTTGTGCAAGAAACCCCTATCGGAAAAAGTACAGGTGCTCTGATGGCCATTCTGTGATGGCCTTTCTTGCGCAAGAGCGTCCATGCAGCGTGGATACTCTCTTGCGCAAAGCACATGGCTTTTGCAATGTGCTTTGAGGTGTGGACGTGCTCTTGCGCAAGAAGTTTTTGTGCAAAAACTCTTGCACAAAAGGCTTCTTGCGCAAGAAACATGTAGGGGTAGACGTAGCCTAATTGTTACAAGGGTCACCTAGAAAAATTGTCCTACCTCACTGACTGCAAAGGACAGCATTCAGATGCATTTTCCTCTGTCAAAAGAAAGTGACCCCTCTTCAAAAATTATTGCCCACCCTTGGTCTAAAGAGAGTACTGATTTGGGTACAGATAAGAAATCACTAAGAAATCACTAAGTTCCTAACTCTTGGCATAGTAAAATCCCAAAATTGGAGTCAACAGGAATTGCCATGCCAGCAAACACCCCTTAGGCTATGTCTACACTACAAGGTTTTTACGCAAGAACAGCCATTTTTGTGCAAAAATCGGCAGAGTTTCCACACCTCAAGCGCGTTTTTGTGCAAGTAAATCGGCAGAACAGTGGGTTTTTGCTGGTAGAGTTTTCCCCCTCCCCATGAGGAATAACTCTTTTTTGTTCTACAGCCCTTGCGCAAAAAGGCAGGTGTGGACGTTCCAGAGGGGAAAGCAGTGTGGATGCTTTCTTGTGCAAAAGGACATCACTTTTGTGATGCACTTTGAGGTCTGGATGCGCTTTTCTACAAGAAGTTTTTGCGGAAGATCTCTTTCACAAAAGGCTTCTTGTGCAAAAACCCTGCAGTGTAGATGAAGCCCTAGTGTAGACATAACGGTAGTAGCAAAACTCCACTTTTGCTGGTATAGTTTACTTTGCTGGCGGGGGAGGAGGAGGAGGAATGTAAAATAAACTATGCTGGCAAAAGCACAGTTTGCCAGTATAAACCATGTCCACATTAGAGGCACTTTGTTGATATGGTATACTAACTTTCAGTTAGGGTATGTCTACAATGCAGCATTTTTTTCAGAAAAATGGCCATTTTCCCGGAAAAACTATACTTACGTCCATACTGCTATTGCATTTTTTTGAGAAAGTCGAAAGAATGGATGGGTTTTTCCGACAGTGGTAAACCTCTTTCTATGAGGAAGAAGCCTTTTTCCAAAAGAGCTTTTTTGGAAAAAGGTGTGTGTGGATGCAGAAGAGGGAGTTCTTTCAAAAAAAGAGGCCTCCAGGAAATAACACAGGTGCCCTGGTGGCCACTCCGTCCACAGTAATCACAACTTAAATGTGAGATAGCACCCAATGAATGTGGATGCTATATTTCAAGAAAGCACGTTGCTTTTTCATTGCGCTTTTGCTGTGGGGTTGCTCTCTTTCAAAATAAGCTTTTCTGGATGATCTCTTCCAGAAAACCTTCTTCCGAAAGAAGCCTGCAGTCTAGACATAGCCTTAGATTGTAGATGCTTTGTTACAGGAATTGTCTCTGCTTGTAATGGGCCTAGTCCTGACTCCCCTGACTGGGACTGTGGGAGCTTCTCCAATGCAAATACTAAATACAAGTTAAAGTATGAGTGTCTGGGGAAGGAATTGAACCCCGTCTATCTCCCATTAAAGTCAGTGGAAACACTCTTACTGAATTCAGTGGGCATTTGTAATAAATCAAAAGATATCTGTATATCATTTGAAGATTTGGCTCTGTATGTGTACCGGGGGATGTGTGTGTGTAAACGAAGGGTTATTGCTAGGCCTTCATTCCCATGATCTTAATTCACAATTACTTGGTTTTTCTCCCTTTTGGCACTATATGCCCCCCTCACTCCCTTCTGTCATCTTTTTGCTGGGTCCAAGCCAAACAGTCTGTACACATTTTACATGCTTCTTGCACTTTCTTGACACATATGCCCAAGTGTCTTGTATGTCAGACACATAAGTTTGTGACTGCTCGGGTCAGGCTAGCAGAGATGGAGGCCTGAGAGATCTTACAATGAGGTTTTCTCACAGAAGGAGATGGTTAAGAGAGGAATTGTTAACACAGGTAGGTGCCTGCAGAGATGAAGGTGGGCAGTAAGGGATCATAACCACAAGACCTGACCCTAAACCTCTAGAAATAAATGAGAGGCTTTCCATTGACTCCATTGAATCAGAGAGGGAAATTTTTGGACTCAAACAGTCTCAGGACCCAAAGCATCTGAACTCTGATGTATTTTGTATTTTATCCTATTTATAGTTTCTGCTTCAGCACTTAGGGTACGTGCCGTCTCATAACTGGTATGAGCAAGAGAACTGAAAATCTGAACTAAAAAGGCCTAAAAATGAGACAACTTTCTTACCTTAAGAGGGGCCTCCACCTTCCCACTGTGTAAGTACAATTTTGTTCACAGCTAATAGTCTCTGTAATGTTTGTTCTCTCCACAAACATAACTCAACAAAAAAGTCTGTTATAGTCCTCTTTCAGGACAAAACTGAACCTTTTTACTAGATAGTCAAAATTCCTTAGACTTCCTTAGAACTTCATGAGAAAATAGCTTCAGCCAAATAGCCATACAGAATCCTGAATGGTGATTAGCTAGTGAGTCGTGCATGATATTTTTTACATAATCATATTCAAGGCAAAGAGTATGCAAAGTGCAAAGTGTACTGAATTTACATACGAGAGAAAGGATTACATTGAAATAAGACATATGATATAGCCTGTTTTCATCACACACAGGCATCACATACTTTCTGGTAGATGACACCATTATCAGATGGAAAGAGTTTTGAAATGGAAATAGGGGAAAAAACCCGAGGCAAAGTAATTCTTAAGAACATAAGAATGGCCATACTGGGTCAGACCAAAGGCCCATCTAGCCCAGTATCCTGTCTGCCGACAGTGGCCAATACCAGATGCCCCTGAGGGAGGGATCACAACAGGTAATCCTCACATGATCCCTCTCCTGCCACCCATTTCCAGACAAACAGGGGTTAGGGACACCATTCCAACCCATTCTGGCTAATAGCCATTGATGGATCTAACCTCCATGAATCTATCTAGCTCTTTTTTGAAACCCGTTAAAGTCCTAGTCTCATAACATCCCCTGGCAAGGAGTTCCACAGGTTGACCTTGTGCTGAGTGAAGAAAAACTTCCTTTTGTTTGTTTTAAACCTGCTGCCTATTAAATATTGTGGGAATAAGGAAATAACTTTTCCTTATTCATTTTTTCCACAACAGTCATGATTTTATAGACCTCTATCATATCTCGCCTTAGTCTCCTCTTTTCTAAGCTGAAAAGTCAAAATCTTTTTAATCTCTCTTTATATAGGTCCCATTCGAAATCCCTGATCATTTTGTTGCCTTTTTCAATGCAAATATATATTTTTTTGAGATGAGGTGACCATATCTGTACACAGTATTCAAGATGTGGGCGTATATAGATGCAATAAGATATTCTCTGTCTTATTCTTTATCCCTTTTTTAATGATTCTTAACATTCTATTTGCTTTTTTGACTGCTGCTGTACACTGAGTGGATATTTTCAAAGTACCATCCACAATGACTCCAAGATCTCTCTCGAGTAGTTGTAGCTAAATTAGTCCCCATCATATTTTATGTATAGTTGGGATTATTTTTTCCAATGTGCATTACTTTACATTTATCAACATTAAATTTAATTTGCCATTTTGTTGCCCAGTCACTTAGTTTGGTGAGATCTGTTTGAATCTTCTGTATTTATTAGGTATTATTGACATATTACTGGTGGCTAGTTGAAAAGCGCTCCTTATATCCACTGTACTGTATTCCTTCCATGTAATGGTTTAAAGTAGACTTAAAATAGATTATTGTTTTTTATAGTAGGTTTAGTTTTTAGAATTCTTTTCTTGGGATCCTGGAAAAACAATTTTGAAAAGTCCATCGCTGCATTCAGTTCAATCACAAGCTCTGTAAGGATTTAATAAACAATAAGTTAGAAATTCTTGACATCTAAATCAGTCACTTCTTGTGTAAGAAAACTCATTCTGTCCATAGATTGTGTTGCAATAAACCATGGCTCACTCCTGCAGACCCTTGCTATCAATGTGTTTTTACTGTCATATGTCATTCCAAGTAAGCCAGTTCATGTATTTATAAGAAACTCAGTATTCAAAGATAATAGAAGGACGCATCTCATAACAATCTTCTTATTAATGTATAAAACCTGAGTCTTCTGTGTTTTAAATCCAAATACTTTCATGTGCTCACACAAAATAAGCTGGGTTGTGAAGATAGACTGACTAATAACAAAAATGAGGCTTAGTTTTTCAGACACCAACATTTATAACTCAAACGTTGTCTTTCTTAGTGTTTCTTCCCTCAGCCCCTGACAATCAAGAAGACCTATTTCTTTTCATGCCCGTAGAGAAACTGATCAATATTGTACTGACATTACACTGATTTAACTGTGCCAGGTCATAAAAAACAACAGCGTCAATCAACAGCAGGAGGCTGTCAGAAATAGACTGGTAACACACCTTTAGCTAACCATTTTCTAATGAGAAATAAACTTGCTCCTTGAGTTATGCCTGCCAGATCCCTGTTAATAGGTATTTACTATGTGCGTATCTTGATTCACAGGATGGATGTCAGCAAGCTTTAGATAATATGCACAATCCTTTACTTATGAAACATGACCAACAGTGCTTCTCTTGTAGAAATTAAATATCTGCCTCACCTTTGCCCTAGACACACGTCAACACACATCCTATAAATGGCTCTGCGGAATGTTCCCAAATTCTTATGGCAACAGGAAAGTTATGTCTTGGATAATATCAGATTAATTCCCCCCAAATAAAATAGAAATTATAGCCACAGAATGTTACTGCATTTTAAATGAAATTATGGCTGCCAGCCACCTAATTGTGTTTACATGATTCTCTGCCCAAAGTACAAGTTACAGTGTGCTTGGGTAAAATAGAATACTCACATTTCACAGGACCCAGTCATCACAGAAATGACTGTGATAAGTTGACATACGAGGTCAGCTTCAGTCTGATGTTGTTTTAGTCAGTCACCAAACATTTATGAAGTAGGCTCCAAAGCTTCAGAGCACAAACTTGGACAAGACTCCAGATGTCCAAAAATGTGCCCAACAAAAGATGTGTGTGATGAAAACAGGCTATGTCTGATATACAACCATGTCAACAAATGAACCTATCCACCTATCAACTATCAGCAAGCATTAGATGATCTCTGCTGAAGCCAATTTTTAGTTGTTAGTCATCCACACCTATAAATGTGCATCTGTATTGTTTCCCTTCTTTAATTAACATTTTAGAGCCCCCTGTAACATATCTAAAAATAATAAAAAATAGTATGGAGAGCTATTATAAACACCTTCTCTTGAATCACAAATACTAGCTTCCTCATAGTGGTGAAGAGATTTTCCCCTTTCTAGATCTGGTCTCCAACCAGACTAGCCCTTTAGAGACTGTTTTGTACAAAATTAGTGACATGTTGGGTTTAAATCAGAGAGAGGCATGATTCACTTTGCTGTAATTATTCAATCGATACCTAATACAATAATATAACAATGTCAAAGGGGTTAGGAGCTTATTTCTATGCATCTTGGTTGCTATGTGATTTATAGGTTAAAGGGTTTGAAAAGCTAACTGGTGTGAAATTATCTAGTTTTGCTTCACAAACATCACCAGCACTTATTTCTCAATTATGCACTCAGGGATTGATTTAATATACAATGAAGTCAATGGGAATCTTTCAACTGATTTACTTCAGTATGTGCTAAATAGGTCTTTCAGATCCTGGGAGAAAATTTACATGGGCCCAAGCTTTCTGTTTTGGAATCCAAAGTGTGGCCTTATCTGAGGAGTGCCATTCTATGACTATAATTGGAAGCACAAAGTGGGTAAAATGAGGGTAAACCCACATTCTGAGCCTAACTGGTTTGTCTAATGGTTTCAGAAACATAAGAAATGCCAAAAGGCCAAACTCTGTGTTGATTTGCACCTTATAATATCCCATTGATACTGATTTCATAGGTGTTAATGAGGACATGTTCTAGCCTTGGAAGTGAATCCAAACGTCAAATTAAACCCATTTTAGGAACTATTTAATATTGTCCATTATACTGCAACCTTAAAGTGATATCTTGTGTAGAAAAGTCTGTTACCGAATATTATCTCATCAAGATCAACAGTGTTTAAACATAATAAAAGGAAGCACTACATCAAGATAGCCCAGTAAATAGCAGAGTTATAGCAACTTTCTCTATTAATGGCTATGCTTTATATATAAACATGAAACAGATGTCTTTGATTCTTAGGGTAGTAAGAAGTCTTTTAAAAGAAACTGCTACCATAAGCAAATTACGAGTCTAGAGTATTTCCATTAAGAAATCTTACTTTCCTGATGTCTAGTGATGTGTTATGCAGTCCAACAAACATGGGATGTAAATTGTTCTTGTGACCACAGATGCATTTTAGAGTCTTCTGGCGAGGCCCATATCCAGGTTATTTAAATATCTTTGATTTATGTTTCCTTTCTTCTCTCTCATTATTTATAGCAATGTAGAGGAGATGCAGAGTTTTTTTTTTCTTCAGAAGAATGCAATCTAAATGGGAACAGATTAACTTTTGCAAGATTAAAGACCACTTTGCCTTATTTCATTCAAATTTATGGACGCTCACATATAGAGTACATAGTAGGTCAGATTTTGAATCCTGGTGTCAAATCCTGGCAGGGGATGTATCTGCAGCAATGCTGTATTCCAGCTGTCCACAACTAGCAGAACAGCCCATTGGGAACTGTTACTATTTCAAGTTAGAGTAGCCTTCAGATTGCTCTAAGTTTCCCAGGAGTAGGGGTATGGGGAAAAAAGAGGGGAGAAAGGAGACAACCCAGACTTTAATAATCCTTGGGATTGGGGACGTTCAAAGTGGCATAAAGTCACTTTTGGTCTCCACAATCTCTATGGGGGTAGGGGAAGAAGGTATGCCGAGTAACAAATTCCAAGAAACAATCAGCTACTTCTGAACACAAACCCAGCTAATACCCCCTTAGTTTATTATATTGCAGAGGCATTCAGGTTTTGCTTAAATGCATGAAAACCTCTTGACTCCACCATATCAAAGCTGGAAGACCATTCCAGTCATTCACCATCTAGCTTTAAATGAATACGTTGACCATTACTTCATACATGTTACCTCTTAGCTTAGAACTATGTCCCTGATTTTTAGTCTGTCCACTAATACCAATAGAATATGTAAAAATGTGTACATAGTTCACATCGGTCAGAAATTTGCTGATTTACAAAATATTCTTGACAAATCTGCACAAGAAGGTTGCATGCTGATCACTTTGGACAGATCTCATTAGACAAGGTAAAAGAGAAGTGAAAGATACACATTCCTACAAGCAAGCAGCTAATTTTCTCATATTAGAAACTCCAGATAGGTAGTCATGTTTTGGGGAAGCGCATATTTTCTGGGCCCTCCTCTATAGGCTATCATAAACTTGAAAAACTCTCAAGCATGTACTGCTGACTTACCACTGATAGCTTGGAATAGAATGTCATTCAAGAACCTCCAGGATTGTGATGTCCTTCAAAACATGGAATGTTTAAAAGGACTGACAGGGCTTAGGTAGTATACCATAGCAACTGCTCCCCAGCCTGGGCTAGACTGGGTTGCAATTTTAAAATATATAGCATTTTATATATTTCAGCTTAGTATTATGTGTGCACTCTTTGTACTCTGCTTAACTTGGTTGTCTTCATGAACCTTCTGGGAACAATAGCATTCCTGTAAGAATATATTAATGATGAGTTTTATGATGTGATTGAAATTAACAGATTTGTTGGGGTAACTCACATGACTGAAGCACTCTCAAGGATGGGTGTAAACTGTTCAGGAAGAACAGGTGGGGGAGAAAACGTGGAGGAGTTGCACTGTATATAAAAGAGCAGTATGATTGCTCAGAGCTCTTGTATCAAACTGGAGAAAAGCCTCTTGAGAGTCTTTGGGTTAAGATTTGAGGTGAGAATAACAAGAGTGATGTCATAGTGGACATTTGCTATAGAACACCAGAGTAGAAGGACCAGGTAGATGAGGTTTTCTTTGGACAGTTAACAGAAGTATCAAGATCATAGGCCCTGGTTCTCATGGGAGAACCAATCACCTCTGACATCTTCTAGGAGAGAAATATAGCCATGCACAGACAATCCGGGAACTTTTTGGAGAGTGCTGGGGACAACTTCCTGGTGCAAATGCAGGAGGAACCAATTAGAGGTCATGTGTTACCCCAAAAATTCACACTGGAGACCACCCAGGGTTATACTAGTATGGATTTATTGTTAAACTAAAGATAGAGCTGCCACTAAAGGTATAAACTAAAGAGGGAACCAGCTATCTCTCTCACACACAAACAGACACACACCTTCATTCATTCACTAGCATTCATTCCTGCCCTCAGGCACTCACACACTTACACAGGCATATGGGTTGCAGAAGGAGTCAAGGCATGTAGATTTTGGAGGGTCTGTCTGCTGATCATGGCTGGAGAACTGGCCAGAAAAGAAACTGGCTGCTTCTTCTCAGAAAGAGGGTTTTTGCCACATACTCTCTTCTTTCATTGCCTTTGTGCAACTCCTGTGACTCATCCACACTCATCACCAGGGAGCATGCCCAGACTTCCCTTGATCCAGCAGAGCAGCAGTTTCCTTAAGTGGGCTGATGACTCATCATCTAGCTCCAGGTGCTCAGCCTTGCAGTTTCTAATCTCAAACACACAATAAGTCTACAGGTACACACACATTCATATCTCAGAGGAGAATGCAGCTTAGAGGAAGTTACAAGCAAAGTGTTTGAGAATTACAAAAATTACAAAACTGTAAGGCTCAATCACCAATATACAGTAAGTTTCTAAACTTATAAAGCAAAGTTGCTGAGAGTTACAAAGTTGCAAGGTTTTACAAAGATGACAGAGTTACAAGGTTTAAGATCACAAGGAGTTGCAGAGTTTAAAAAGCAATGCAGTTGAAACAATTACACAGCTTCAGAGAATTATTTACAAATCAACAGTAATGAAGTGACATAGCAGACACTGCCTCCCGCCCCCAGCAATACAGTCAGAAGGAGGTTTTTCTCAGTCTAAGTTATGTATTGGCAGGATCTTACAGTTTAGCATATTTCCAGAAAATCCATGTATTTCCATCCCTCGGGTGGAGGCTTTTATGCAACATCATGCTCCTCTTATTTCCTGCTCACAAACAGGGAAGAATTAATAGGGGAAGTAGAAGTAAGTGACAACCATGAGATGGTTGAGCTCAGGATCCTGATGAAAGAAAGGAGAGCAGCAGAACAGACCTTCTGAAAATAGCACTACCAGGATTTCAAGAAAGATGTGGAGAAATTGGAGAGGGTACAGAGAAGAGCAACAAGAATGATTAAAGGTTTAGAGAACATGGCCTATAAGGGAAGGCTGAAAGAACTGGGTTTGTTTAGTGTAGAAAAGAGAAGACTGAGGGGGGACATGATAGCTGTTTTCAGGTACCTAAAAGGGTGTCATAAAGAGGAGGGAGAAAACTTGTTCATCTTGGCCTCTGAGGCTAGAACAAGAAGCAATAGGCTTAAACTGCAGCAAGGGAGGTTTAGGTTGGACATTAGGAAACAGTTCCTAACTGTCAGGGTGTTTAAACACTGGAATAAATTGCCCAGGGAGGTTGTGGAATTCCCATCTCTGGAGATATTTAAGAGTAGGTTAGATAAATGTCTATCAGGGATGGTCTAGACAGTATTTGGTCCTGCCATGGGGGCAGGGGACTGGACTTGATGACCTCTCGACGTCCCTTCCAGTCCTAGTATTCTATGATTCTATGAAATGCACTTTTAGCCACTTTCTGCACCTACTGAGACTATTATTAAACCTCCTTTTGCCTGGGCCTCTTAGATCAAACTATAGTTTGAAAATCCAAAGCAAAAGGTGGTATGCAGGGTCCCATAGAATAACAGTTGGGCAATTATTCCATTTATGACAATGAAATTTGGTGGGAATAGTCTCCTGGGCTGTCTCTGAAGATAGACTCCTTATAGGCAGAAAACCTTGGCATCACAAACTTTTCCAGTGCAGCCCACATTGGTGTCCATAAATTGGCTATAAAAGCCTTTTTGAGTTGTATACTCCTGTGCTCCTTCAGGACAAGTGGGTATATGAAACCCATCAATGCCCCCAGAAAGGCTTGGAACCCCATTCTCTCAAAACTAGAAATGACTTCAGGGATACTTCACATCTGACTAAATGAGTCTTTGCCCATGAAAGCTTATGCTCCAATAAATCTGTTAGTCTATAAAGTGCCACAGGACTCCTTGTCACTCTTGCAGATTCAGACTAACATGGTAACCCCTCTGATACTTCAGGGATATTGTCTATGTCCAACACTTTTTGGTAAATCACATGCCTGATTACCTCAGAAAACTCCACCATGCTCTTACTTACTGTTGATTTTCCAATATCAAACTGGTTAGGAACAGAACATTAGGGGCTACGTCTACACTGGCCCCTTTTCCGGAAGGGGCATGTTAATTTCAGCTATCGTAGTAGGGAAATCCGCGGGGGATTTAAATATCCCCCCGCGGCATTTAAATAAAAATGTCCGCCGCTTTTTTCCGGCTTTTAGAAAAGCCGGAAAAGAGCGTCTACACTGGCCCCGATCCTCCGGAAAAAGCGCCCTTTGCCGGAGGCTCTTATTCCTACTTCAAAGTAAGAGCCTCCGGAAAAGGGCGCTTTTTCCGGAGGATCGGGGCCAGTGTAGACGCTCTTTTCCGGCTTTTTTAAAAGCCGGAAAAAAGCGGCGGACATTTTTATTTAAATGCCGCGGGGGATATTTAAATCCCCCGCGGATTTCCCTACGACGACTGGTGAAATTTACATGCCCCTTCCGGAAAAGGGGCCAGTGTAGACGTAGCCTTAGACTGCAGTGCAGATGTGCCCTTTGTGGGAAAACTGCGGAGCCTCTGTTCTGCCCTTATCTACTTAGTTTTCTAGACCGACAATGTTGATCCTGCATTTCTTCTTGACATTTTGTCCTTCTTTGGTTTCATTAATCTATCTTCTATTTTTTTCTTCTACTTTTCTGATAGATCCTGCAACTTCTTGTTCTGTCAGTTCTCTTACCCTTTTCCATAAAGCACTATTCTTGGATGGCTTCTCAACATCCTATCTTTAGCTGCTTTTATCCACTCACATGATGAACTTCCATTTTTATCCCGTTACTCACAGTTCTAGTTCATCACTCCTAACCTGGCTTCCTCCATCCACTCCAACATTTTGACTTGTCTTTCTCATATCTATTGATACCTCAGCTTCATCGTAAAATTAACAGTCAAACCTGAATTCTCTCTCCTTCCTCCCAGACCTGTCCTTCTCCCTCCTTTTCCTGTCAGTGTGGACAGTGCCACATTTCTCTCAGTCACTCCTAATCATTTGTGTGCAAAACATTTTTCCCCCTCTAATTTTATTTGTGTATATCCCCACGCTGACAACTCTTTTGATTTTTCTCCATTGAACTGTGAACCAATGATTGAAATTAAATTAGTTCTTCAGGGACTTAACAGCTCTGTTAACTTCATCACTAGGATTCTCATATTCCTTTATAGAAAAATTGTGTGACATTTAATAGGAATGAAAGTAATAGTGATTTATAAAAATCAAAGGGAACCCTACAGGAATTACCTAACACAATATAACATTTAATAAAGAATGATTTGTTTTCTACTGAATTTTTAACTCAGCCAAAGAAATTCAATAGAAAATGTTATGGGTTGGTTTAGAAATTCTGTGGAAAGAATCTTCCTATCTATAATGTTTTATAGGACTCCTTCATAAGCTGTATTTGTTTGTTGAATTGAATATGTTTGTTGAATTGAATAATTCTGATGGGCACAAGTGTGTGAGAATGTCAGACTTACTTCTTATTGTAGATTCGATCCCCTGGTCACAGTTTCGATGGAAAGTAAAATAAAACTTAAAAATAACAGTAGCTCAGTATATGGGGAGAAAGCTATCCTGTATTACAGACAAAAAAAGTTGCATTGCTATGCAGTCTGGAATTGTTTGGCATGCCGGCAGAGTTGCCAGCTGGCAGTAATATAAAAATATTAAAAGTGTGTCTGCAAGATATTTACAGCTAGGGCAGAGGGGGGGAAGGGAGAACATCCTTTGGAGTTCTTCAGTGGTATGCAGAGGTCATCAGAATGTATGTCACACCAAATCTGATGTAAAACCAAATAGGAAAGATATTCTGAAAGTACTGAGGAAGTTCTATTATCATGCATTGCATCTTGCAAAGTCTACTTCAGTTCCCCTGGGAGCCCTACAGAATGCAATGGAGGCAGGGCAACTGGAGATAGCCAGTGAATAACATGGATTAAGTAATCAATATGTCCTGATAATTCATGTGAAGTCTCTGAAACTTTTGGTTACAATTTCTGTCTTTTTTCTACAGTCACAAGTGGTAAAAACTC